ATGCCAAAGCCTAAAAGAGATCAATATAAGGACCTACCTAGGAAAGACTGTGCATGAGGACAATACACAAATGGTTTCACTGACCTCCCTCCTGAACCCTGTGGTTTGGTAAATACCTTACTTAATCTGTTCAGCATGAAAGTAAGCAGTGAATCAGGTTCTTAAACCACCATAAATGCATGCCCACAGAAGAAGAAAACAGCAAGTTTTAATTCTTGACCAAAAAAAAAAATATATAAAAAGAATAAAGACAATACACAAAGACAATATTGCAACTATAATGAAAATGTAACAAAAGCAGATTGGATCCCTCCAACCTTGGAAGCTAGATGAGAAGCTTAGAGGTTATCTCAGATACTGCTGGTGTCTTCCAGGGCAGTTCCCTCCAGCCCCGAAGTCCACCTCCACCATACCCATATGCCATAAACAGTCCTGCAACTGGCCCACAAAAATGTTCCCAGACTCGTTACCTGTCCATACTGACATCTCATCCAAAAGACTAAGATACAGTAACACCCAAAGCAATAGAAGAATCTAACCTTAGTAGACTTTCTTTTCAAGACTCAAAGAGCACGAATGGTCAAAGCTCTTCTCTGGATCATTTGGGAAGTACCTCATAAGATTACAGACTGCAGGAAACTCTACTGCTCTGTGAAATGAAGAAAATATACTCTCAGTTAGGGTCACCTTAAAAGGTTGATGTGCTCCTCCTGTTGTAATAGAGTGGTTGAAATAAAAGCAGGTAGATGTCATCAACCAAAATAAAGGCATGTGGGGCTACAAAACTATTTCACTTCTGCTTTCTGAAGGCTGTCAGTCTGTGGAGCCACCGCAGAAGAAACAAACAGTGGACCTAAACGATATTTAAATTTTATATGCTATCTGTACAACAGTTCTAATGAGAGAGATGGCTTAATGTAATCTCCTGACAGATGTTACACACACCCAGATCTCCTCAAGCAGTGGCCTGGGTCTCCTGCAACTCCTGGGCTGATGGGGAACTTCTCCGCTTTGGTGGGAGTAGCGAATGTCTGATTCCTGTTTGCTTGTTTGTTTGTTTGTTTGTTTTTTTGTTGTTTGTTTGTTTTTTAAGTTTGTTGCATCATAAAGAGCTCAAATTAAAACATTTCATTTTGGATGTGAAGTCTGTGTGATGCCTTCTGAACACTACCTCTCTTTAAAAAACAAAAAAACATAATAATAAACATTTTAGCTAAAATATGCCATTTCCCCTCATTTCTCCAACTTTACTGCTAACCAGAATCTGATGATTTGAGCACACTAGCTTCTTGCTAGGTATGAGAAAGGTAATAATGAAGCATGGAAGAAATGTGGATATAGTGATGAGTTTCTGCAGACCGCTGTTTATTGACTACAAGTTCTCTAAGTCTCATCACCATTATGTCAAACAAACAAGTTGCTGCTTGTGATCTGCAAAAGCTATTGACTGAAGTCAAAGTGCCAGATGTCATTCCACACACTTACAGGGTTGCTACACCAAACATAACTTTCTTTTTTTCTGCTATGGGAGACATAGCAAAAGAAAACAACATCGTTAAACTAAAATACTGACATGGTTAATCAAAAAAAAAAAAAAAGAAGAAGAATTGCTTCAAACAGGGCAGAGCCTAGCTTTAAGAGTTAAATTTCAGCATCCATGTGTCCTTGCTTGTCATTATGAGACAGAGAAGCAACACGCCGTGCTGGCAGAAGCATCCATCAGGTCAGTGTAGTTTCAGACATCAGCCATGTACAATACAGGGCACAGCTACCAGGGCCCTGTAGGTTCTACACCAACACCTCCGAGATCAAGGATTTCCTTCCCCTCAGTCATGCACACGAATCAAGATTTGTAGGATATAGGTATACAGGCTGGCTTTAAAAAGACAGAAGAGTAATATTTACACTGACTAGCATTTTAACCCAAAGGTGACAGTAAAGTAGAGCTTTTATCCTGAAAGACAATGACTACCTAATGGGAAATGGGAAAGGATTCAAGCAGTGGAAAGGAAGAAACACATCCCTTTTCATCCCCAAAAAGGTAGCACAAGCAGCAATTTCTGAGATGCAGACCACAGGCTTTCCTTTGCTTACCAGGGAAGAAAGAAATGTGAAGAAAAAAAAGGGAAGAAAGAGCCAGAGACAAAATGGAGGTTCTCTAGCAGCCAACAGTGCATGTGTTATGCCAGGGCGCCTCTCAAGAGCTGCAGAATCAGTATCCAAGCATTAATTCCCCTTCACTGCTTCGCAGAGAGCCAGTGGCATCGTAGCAGATTCCAACTTTACCTTAGCAATGCCCAATGGAGCAGCTGCACTCCAGAGAGCATTTCGCTTGCACGTCCCCGAGCTGTCGGCTTGCAGCACGTCACTCCAGCCATCCGAACAGGAGGCCAGCAGAAAGGGGAAGGCTCGCAGTGACCTGCCCGATAACATTTTCTGCAGACTGGAAATCCCAGTCAAATCTCATCCAGCCCCATCACAGCTTCCTGCAATCAAACCTGACAAGGAAAGCCAATTACAAAATGCATTTCAAGCCTCACCTGGTCTCCCAAGAGTAGCTCTACATATTTGAAACATTTTGATGGGCTTCTTGAAATGCTTGCCTGGCTAAAGTGACCTACAAATACCAATTTGCAGCACATCCTTTATAACATTTGCCTCAGTGTTGGAACCCACGTCCTAAATTTAAAGCTGGAAGCTTGGGAAGAGCTAGGACTAGCTGCTATAATCCATGGTAGAGGTAATTGTCATAATTCGAAGGGTATGCCAACAAATATGTTGTGATCGGGACTGTTAATCCTTATAGTAATTTCTGAAGGTGCCTCCAGAGTAGACCGGTCTTTACTTGTTACCTCTAGCTATGAATCTCATAGATAGGGAACAGCCAACTGGCAAAATCGTGCTCTCTGAGCTGTACAGCCAGCCCTGCTCCACCACTCTGCCCAGCCCTGCTTGTGTGTGCCAACAAGAGGAGAATACTTTGTACACAGATCTGATGGCAGCCTTTCATCCTCACCACAGTATCTTCTGCAAATAATAAAGTAACAATCAAATGAGGACATTAAAACAGGCCAATCCATCAAAGAAATGGGCTCAGGTCCTAAAGCACAGGAGATCAGCGTAATTCACTGACACTAGTCAAGTGACACCAATATATTCCTACTGGAGATCCAGTCTGCTAAATGCTAACATTGTCCTCACGTTTTACTTTCTCTCACTGGGTTCAGGCAAATAGACCTAGTTTTATAACAAGAAATCCTCCTCGTTTTTAAGGATGTCTGTCTGAATTCAGTGAAAAAGGAAAACGTCCTGCCTCAGAGTGATTACAGAAGTAGCATAACTTGGAAAAGGCAAAACTGGATTCACTTGGAGCAAGACAAAGCCAGTTCCTGCAGGCTTCCCTCCCACTGAGTTACACAAAACAAGCAACTACGTGAGGCATCCTCGTGCTGCAGCATCCCAGAGCAACAGCAGTCGGGGGGCAAAAATGGAATGACCACAAGGCAGTTGCATACGAGGCACCTACGCATAAACCCATATTTGAGTAGCCTTATCCTTCATACTTGAGTCTAAACACTTTGTTCAATCAACACTGAAGAGAATACTTCTTATTACTATTTTTTTGTTGTTGTTGTTTTTAGTGGCAGCAGTGTCCCCTCTCACAGCAGAGCAAGGTTCCCACGGATGCCATCCTTATCTCTCACAAAGCCAGGAGGCGGGGGGCGCACAGGAAGAAGTGCCAAAGTTTGCCTTTCCTTTTTCGAAATGTCAGTGCTTATTGATCACTAAATCACTTCAACAGCTTATTAAGTAGATGTCACGGAGAGTTACTACCGGTCTCCTATTAATTTAAAAATACTAATGGTTTTTTTTTTGGAGTGTAATTTCTTTCCAAATGAAAAATGCCCCCTGTGTTAAAAACTGAACATTTTGGACCCTGTTCATCAGTGTGCAAGGCTATTGATCATACATAATGCACATTTAGTACAGATTTTAACACTGCAGTATGTTTTAAGGTTGCTCTATAGCTTTGTTGTCTCATTTCTTTATCATTTCAAAGGATCCTTTCCATTTGGTTTTTCCATTTGCAGACACGCTGACATTCTCCTGATACATATTGTTCACAGTTTCATGTCAATACCAGCATAAGTAGAAGCTATCAATCACTTTCCTGATGATAACAGTAAATAAATAAGGCACGCTTTAAACCTTCAAAGCACTGCATAAACATCAGTTTGTTTTCACAACATCCCTGTAAGCACTGAGGCAAGTGGTTTAACCATTTCGCTAGGCACTAACTCCGATTCAGGAATGGCTTAAGACCCATATGGCTCATTATATGCATTAACCACAGAAGATGTACATTCTGACAGATAACCTACATATAAAAGACCAGAAAAACTGTATTTCCAAAAATTGAAAGAAATTCCACTCAATCATAAAAAAACAGATCGTTTAACTGTGAGGGTGGTCACGCACTGGAACAGGTTGCCCAGAGAGCTTGCAGACTCTCCAGCCCTGGAGATGTGGAGAAGCTGGCTGGCCACGGCCCTGAGCATCCTGCTGGAGCTGCCCCTGCTCTGAGCTGGGCGGTTGCAGTGGCGCTCTCCAGACGTGCCCTCCAGCCTCAGCTGTTTTGTGCCACTGCTGGATGTGGTCAGGATCCCTCCTTTGGACTGCTGTACGCTCACACAAAATAAGCACCAATGTTTGAGGATACCGCAGCATTTTCCTGCCTTTTGCTTTTCTGTGGGTGCAGCTAGAAATGCCATGGGTATGGCTAGGGATGTCATTAACTCCCCAGTCCTGCAGTGAAGGATACACAGAGCCAGACACATGAAACGAAAAACACACAGAGGATCACACTGGGACATCTGATTCCAATATAGTGTGCAAGGAGCGAGCGGGTGTTCTCCGCGTTTGGAAGCCTTTCAGCTCTCAAATATAACTACTGTTCACTCTCCAACAAAAGACTGAGATTAAGTATCAAACTTTTTTTTTTTTATATATTTTTCTTTTTGTTCAACATCTACCAGACAGACATAGTAGCATCTTTCTCTCACAGTTTTCCTTCTACAGATATAAAAGCTTCCTGCCCATTACATCCTTGGTTATTTCACATCCCATTGATCATTTTGCCTGTCCAGCTAGCAGAACTGCAGCAAATAAGCAAGCAAAGTAAGATAAGGCTAGAGTCTTGCCCTGTGGAGCTGCAGTCCTGTGCTGCCTCCCGTGTTCTTCTCTGCCTCTCCCCCTCCTTCACATATCTCCTTTCATTCCCAGAGACATTTCCAATAGCAGATAAATCAGCACTTTGAATTCTTCTTGTGATGTTGTAACAAGCAGGCAACTGGCATGACATGTTGTAGAGAGACACATGTGAATACCTAAGTCAGAAATAATGAGATTTCTCTCCCGTATCCAGCGTGAAATGAGAGGCAAACGACCTCACCGCTGAAAACAGAGGAGTGCAAGGAGAGGTGTGGGGAAGGGAGGGAGGGAGAAAGAGCAGATGTCTGATCCATTTTGCTTACTACAGTGGATTTCAGAAGAAAAACCGTCTGGCAGGCAGCACCCTGGGAAACAGCCTGGGAGGGATGGGACAGTGGCAGAGCAGTGTCTCAAAACCAGGCAGCTCCACCCTACATCCCAAGGACATGTCCCCTGTGGCCGGGCACCGCTGTGCATTGTGGCCAAACGAGCCTGGGCTTCAAACAAAAACACAGAGGCGAAAGGAGGAAACAAAAGAGAAAGGGGATAAAAGGTCCCAGTAAATCAATTAATGAAAAAGTCTGCTTCAGTCTATAGACAGCAGGGGTAATTGCTGTGTGCGTTGCCTGTGATGAATAGGGCCCCGTTACCGTTGCACAACTCATCCTTCTCAGCCTGGCTGGGAACCAGCAGAACGCTGATCTCCACTGAAAAGTCTTTAATTGTTGTTAAATTAATCAGGGCAGGGTGGCAGCTTTGGGTTCATGCTTAACCGTCCCATTTTCTCCCAGCCCCAGACTCCCACCTTCCCCCCTGCTCCTCCCGCCCCTTCCCCGGCCCCTCAGCTCGCATCACTTTCGGGTCGGTCGAATGCTGGTCCCGTTCACACAGCAGTGAGCCACGCAATAAACCTTGGGGTCCTGCATTTCATCTGCTTCAGGACGTTGTCTCTTTGAAAGCCACGGCGTAACGCAAAACTTTGGAAAGCTGAACTCCAGACATACTTAAAACCACAAGATAGGGAAGTAGAGTGTTTTACCACCAACGCCGAAGCCAGAGATACGGGCGTTGCTGTTACTGCTTAACGCCGGGCATGCAAACACTTCCCAGGAGCAGCCTCGCTCTCTGGGGTGGCAGGCAGCAAGGAGCTTCACCACCTTAAACCCTTTCATTCATATTAGGGGTCACTTCACTGAGCTGTTTACAGCGTAAAACTAGAATAAGCAAGATGACAATCTGATCCAAAATGTGTTTCTTTTTGGCAGTCAGAAGAAGTCAAGAATGTGACAGTGGTTAGAGATGACTCCCACACCCTGCATCGTCGGAAGAGTCCTCCCAGAAGTCTTAAGCTCGCCCTGTCTCCCCATGCTGCTGAAGGATTTGCTGGGGATTTAGCTCGGATATCCCATGCAACTTTCACAATGTTAAGCCAAGAGTATGCGAAAGATCACTGCAAAGAGAAAGAGACCTTCCTCCACGAATAAAGAGGATTGGACAAGAAGTAATGGGAGCGATTAAGGAATAATTAAGTTGTCGCAGCAGACATCTGGGTTAGATGTAAGGAGAAAAAAGCAGGAAGAGTAGGAGAGGAGTGGAATATATTTCCTAGGCCAACTGTGCAATCGCTGTCACCAGAGGTTTTTAGGAAGCAGACAAACAGCTGTCAGGAACGACACAGACCTGAAGACATTGAGATGATCCGAACAGCCTCTTGCAGACCTAGGGACTAAGGAGGTGGTAATTACAAGTGAGCAAGGCAGCAGCAGGCATCCTGAGGACCCACTAAAAACTGAAATGATAAATGCAGCCCTCAGTGTCTAGCCCTGCAGAATTCTGAAAGTCCCTCTTGTCCCCGCTCCATCCGCTACATACAAAAAAAATGCCATTGAATATCCATGAACTCTTATAAAGAAAATATATCATTTAGAGCAAAGTCTGGAAAAAAGGTGTGTTAGATTGACCAGATTACTTATTCAGCAAAAAGCATAAACTGAGGCCTCCCAGCAGTCTTCGTCCACTACGCGCCATCTCTGTGCAGAAAAAGTTAGGTACTTGTATAACTCAACTTGCATGACAATCACACTTTCTCACCCAGTTTAAATGATTCACACAGCAAGGCAACCATGGAAAGACCTGAAAAAAAAAGCAGTCCATAGCTAGCATAAGCAGCATTTCACTATTCTAACTATTCTAACATAGTTTAAAGAAGTCTTTGAGGAATATTCTTGAAAGAAGAGATGGCCCAGAAAGTTTCTAGGTCATTGACAGGTGACCAATCTCACTGTTTTGAAGAATTTATTATGAAGAGGTGCCCAATCAAAGTAATTTAATGCATCCAGATAAACCTGAGGAGCTGCTCACAGAGAACTTGGCCACAAATCTGAGAAAGACTCAAGCCCTGAAATCTCATGCAGGGTCCCTCCTCATCCATTCCTTCATACCGCCATATGACTTCTTTACTTTTGACTTCTCAATGACAAATGAAAGGCCCTCCATCTCCTGAAGTGAGGCTGTATAAGGATATATCTTAGCATAATTACATTTGATAAAGAACCACTTCAGATAAAATATGCTTGTGTCACTGCATTTTTTCCTTCTTACTTCCTAAAAATGGAGGCAAATTTGCAAGTCTTTATTATCCTAGAAAAAGGCATTTAGCATTTTATTGGCATTTCCATATTTGCTCGGCTCGGTTTTACATTCATCAGGGGTGACATCATTCGTATATTTTATTTGCATTAGAATGGCAATTTAGGGTCATTGTGCAATCCCAGCAATATGCATCGCACTGTGCGGCTCTGATCTCCCTTCTGTGCTGGGAGGAGGGAGTCTAACACCAACACAATGATGCAATAGTTTATCTTTACATATCTGACAACTTTCAGCTTCTAGTGTCTAATTTTGGAGAGGCAGGGGGAAGAGTGGTGGGAAAGAGTGGAACAGTAGAAAAAGAAGAGGAATCCCAAGGATTCACTCCCTCAAAAGAAAATGTATTGATTTTTCTTGGGATGTGCTAAAAGGCAGAGTTTACTAGTTAAAGCTGTCTACCAGATCCTCCTTCCTCTGAGGAGCAGAACGATGTACTGTAGAAATGTATCGGGGTCCCACCATGGCAATGGGACCATAGTCCCAGGGAGGGACTATGGCAGACATTCCCACAGAACTTTTCCATCTTTCTTTTTAAACCCAGATTATGGAAATTCCTTTGTTTTCTCTTCGGTCCCCAAACCGCTCTAGCCTAAGCACCCCAGACACAACTCTTGGGCTTCAATTGCTTCATTATCTTGGGTCATTTTTATTTCAAATAAACTTACTGCAGCAGCAGTAAGCCTCAGTGAAGCAGCATTACATTCTGTATAATAACAGAAGCTCTCTCATATGCGTGCATTATGTATTTCACTTATTTTTTCAAGGATCACTACATCTTACCGAGAATAACATTTGCAGGAGGACATTTAACCTTTCTTTCTTACCTTTTTCTATATACCAGAAGATCCTTCTATTTTACAGGTAGCTGTAGCTGAGATTTTATTGATTACATCTTATCTGTGTGAAACATGTATAACAAAATCACTGGGTTTCATACTATCAGGAAAGAATGAAAGCACAGAGTGGGTAAAACCAATTCTAGGCACAGTGCAAACCAAATCAGGACAGGACTCATGAGTTTGCTGGCGCTTATTATTCTGCTTCTCTTAGCCATCGTATGTATCATAGCATTATTTGTGAAAAAATGTTCTTAAAGTCTTTTTCTAAGTTTGTTTACCCCTGGGGCTGGTATTTTGTACTAGGACTTTAGCTCTGCCAATAGAAGAGTCAGCTAGATAGTGCACCAACCAATCCTGGGGTTCTGCTGCTGTATTCCCAAATGCCTCCTAACACCGCAGCAATTCCTATGTTATTGTTAAATAATTGGAGGCAGGGAAGATTTGAGAAGGCAGAACAAGTTGCATGCATTGGCTTCCACAGATGAGAAGGTAAAAGATAGTTAAACTTTTTCCCAAATGGATAATTTCTTAATTATCTGTATAGATTTCCTGTCTGTCTTGCTGTTGCTACCACTGCATCTCATTAGGATTTGTTTAGCTTCAGACAGTCTCACAATTGTTGTTTCTAGATGCTTTTGAAAATTACTATAATTTGTTTGTTACTTGTGTTAAAAAAAGGCCTGAATTATGAGCTTTTCCAACAAATGTTTACCAAGTATTACAGAATCCATAATGAAAATTTACTCTGTAACACTTGGTGGTTTTATTTTTCATGATTATGAGGTTGCTGTTGTTTATAATCTGAATTGTAACAACCCCATCAAACAGTTAAGCCCAGAGTAGAGCCCTTAAGAGTTAAGCTATGGTTAGCCCAGAGTACTGGAAGCAGGACTTCATTAATTTGAGCAGTATGTTATTACAGCTTACACATATCAAATCCTAGCCACTAGTAGATGAAATTTATTACCTGAAGGCTAAGCAGGGTCTTGCCTGAAATGAGATGACAGCTTTGCTTGCCCTCTTAGTACCACGTGTCGCATCTCCATGCCACACACACGTTACACCCAGCAGGGTGCTCTGCTTGGAGTGCTGCCGTGAAACAAAATGTGCTTCATCATTCTTGGGTTTTGAGAAGTGGAAAACACGAGACTGGGGAATGCCTTCATCCAGCACCACCCTTCTGAAGTGGAGCCTGAAGTAGTGACTGGAGGGTTCGGTGACCAGAGCAGTGACCTCCCCCCTCAGCCACCGAGGCCCAAGATGGATGTGAAGAGCCCTAACATGAGGTGCCTGCAGGCCCACAACCCCAGAGCTTTCAGTGAGGAGAGCAGAGTTATTTTTCACATTAGAAATACCGTTTTTCCTGCTGAGAGTACTGCACCTGTTTCAGTTTATACAAAATCCTTACCATGCTCAGAAGATTTAGGAAAAGTATCATTCTTCTCTGTTTTCAGACTGTTTTGCTTGTGGACTTGACAACACGAACTTGTGACTGGCCTTTTTCGTTGCATGACGGAAGGTGCACGCTCTCCACAGGCTCTGCAGTAGGATGCTTTCCAGAAACAGCAGCAGCAACTGAGAGCAAAAGGCCCTCCGGAAGATGAGTAATGCAGAGAGTAAAGGGAGGGATTTCTGTGGCACAGGGCCCAAACTGCAACCCTTCATGAAGATCAATCAGTTCTGGATGTTACTAAGCCTGAACAGTGAACGCCTCTATGCAAGAAAATAAGTGCCTGCCCATCACTCATCGCTGTCCCTGGGGAGCTAACTCAGTCATCGGTCTGTCCAGCATCTTTGCTGTAGAATTTGGTGTCAAACCACATCAGCTTGAAAACCGCATTTCTCTAGGCTAGCACTGACATTCATAGTTCAAAAGGAAGACTGCAAGCTTGATTCATCTTCATTTTATGCCGCAGCAGTTCCACAGAAGTCAACGGAGCCACACTGACACATACCTGGAATGAATCTGGCTCCACGTTTGGGAGCAGTGCTTGGCTCTCTCCTAGAGAGCTTCTTGGGAAAAGAAGCTCCACAGGACTTGTGTTTCCACTGCACGAGCAGCACTGGTGCTTTTAAGAGCCTGTGCAAGTGATTCTGAGAAGGGAAAAATGGATTTCCACCAGAAGTATAAACCTAGTATCAACACTTCACTTGGTGTCCCATATTGAAAAAATCACGACTGGCAGGGCACTGATTTACTTTAGATCATAACACTAGCCACCACATTTTGGTTGTGTTGTAGCCTCTTCAAATGGCATGCTCTGGAGATCATTTCCAGGGTTGCTTTCAATAATTTGAACTATTAAGCTAAGTACTTTGAAATCAGCTCTGCTGTGAACCTCTGGTAAGCTTGACCAGATGACCTCCAGAAGTCCCTTCCAGCCTATAATTTTCGCTGAATGTGAGATTCTGAGATTATTTACTGCTGCTGCTGTTTATCCTGCCAAGGCTCTGTTTCCAACCTTGTAATCCAGCTCTCCCTCACCGCAAAGCACTGGCTTTCCCGTTACTAACAGACTACTAACCAGAGCGCTTTCCTGCAAGATTATTACCAGCTCCATTCATCTACACCATATCTACTTCCAGATCTGCTTTTACTGCTTACATGTCTTTCGGCATGGGAGTCCCTTGTAATTTCCCCTTACTTAGATATTCCCAAACACCTGACAAGCAACTGGGATTTTTCAGCTTGTCCTCATCTGTTCCCCAACTGCTTCCATACAGCTTAACAGCTCCCCATTGCTGTTATCTTATGGCAGATGAGGAGGGCCTGACGGCAGCCAGAACACAGAAGCAAACCTCATTTTGCTTTGTTTTCAATCAAAAATAAATACTTTTACACACTGGTAAATGGCACACAGGCATATGGCAACGTCTTCCTCTGCTCCATACGGTGTGTATGTCTATACACACCATGTACACGTAGACTTTGTGTAAGCAGCATTCTTTCCCAGGAAAAGCTGGTCTAAGCCCCGAGCTGACGCACCCGGTTCCTCCCTTGAATACTTCACTCAGACGCAGACAAATTACAAATGTGAATGTGCTACATCACTCGTGTTTCTCTTGGCGCTTCCAGCGGTTTTTAACACGGTGTGCCAAAAGGGCTTCTGCCAGGCAGTATCCAGCTCTTTACCACCACTGCAGATGCTGAAGTGATGGGGCTGGCACAGATCCATCAGGTGAAAGTGGCAGGGGCAAGGGGCTACGACAGGCTTCACCCCCTCCATTAGCACCAGCCACCTGGCTCACATTTCCCCAGTTCCCCAGATGTCCTCTCACCTCTGCTGCCCGTATTCATTTTGGCGCTGCATGCACCCTGGTGCTCTTCAAACGAGATGCCTCTGCCTGGCAGCACTCCTGGAGCAAACCAGCTCGTTCGAGCTGGTAAGCCTGTCAGTCAGTATTTAAAAGAGCTTCCAGTTTTGCAGTATATAAATTAACCTTGACACCTACTGCAGCGGTACCTTCGCTTTTCCTGCATAGCCAGCTGCACTTGACGGGAGTTAATAACTGCAGGTAGCAAGGAAAAAACATGAGGAAAAGCTTTCAGGGGACATGATGATGCTTCTTGCAGTGCAGAATTCTGAAATTAGCTTACAGGCGGATACCCCAAAACACTTACTTGTAGCCCTTTGATCACTGGTTCTCAGCCAGTGGCTTGTTGGACGTGGCGTTTTTACTTCTCCTACTTGCTTTGTGCAGGAGCTGCATCAGAGTGCTGAGGCATGCAAGTAGAAGGTAGCATTTGTGTGGCCCTTATCCTAATTAGCTGTGTTTCCATATGCCCTTTAATTCACCCAACTAATCCCAGAGATAGAGTGACCTTTGTCTTTCACCTCCTTTATCACACTCAGCAAATGAACGAGTTCCCATAACCTAGGCCAACCATTACAAATAATCAGCCAGGACTGAACTCTACAGCTTTTGTCTGCGGAACCAAAATACCTTTTCTTTGCCAAATTCAAAGCAGAGCTAAAAGCTAGGGATCTGCTTGTAAGTAACGTATTTGTAGCAAATATTTTATGCAAATGGTGGCATTTTTAAAAATTAAATATTCATCAGATTCCGCAATTATTCCAGACTGACTAACTTGACTACCAAATAATATTCTGCAAATATTTGCCACAAATCACTGCCATATGTTTTAATGCAGTTCTGATATAAAAGCAAGCTGGACCAAAGCAGCCACGTCACAGCCAGAGACATCACCTTCATTTGTATCGTGTGACCAACTTTAGCCCATGAGAAAAAGACACAGCATCAGGTCAGGAGACTCTCCCCTATTATACACGTAGCCTAGGTGGTAACAGCAAACAAATGGGGACTTAGTAAGCAAGAGAAGGGAAGATTTCTTCTTCCCTTCCTCCCCTGAGGCAGAGAGCTCAGCAGTCTGCAATGCGGGGATTATCCGGTTCACCTGGAAGAGTGAAGCCCAGACCTCCTCCGGGGTGAGGTGCATCAGCTGCTAGGGAGGGAGGCTGAAGGCATCACAAGAGCAAGGCCACCCACCTGTGAGAAGCCAAGACCCATGATCAGGCTGCCATGCACACGTGGCCACCTAAGCTGAGGCTTCCTGGCCTGCCAGGAGTGGGCTTTGGAGGGCATCTGCAGAGCTGGTTAGACAAATTAATGCTCAGGGGGCAGTGGACATGGGCCCAGGCTCACCTCCGTGGAAGTCTGTATCTGGCACATCATCTACAAATATGTCTAGGGAGTGTGTTGTACTGGTCTAAGCAAATTAAAAAAATAATAATAAAAAATAAAAACCACCAAAGACTCAATAATGTCCTTCTCCATATTTCGGCAACAAGCCTGGTGACTCAGAGTGGCACAGAGTGCTCCGGGACAGCAGAGGCTAAACAAGGGGGCTCACAGAAATTAATCACCCACACAAGCTGCTGCCAGCTCCTGCACAGCCCAGCTGCAAGCAAGGTCCGCTGTGCCTTTCCAGTGATCCTATCTGTTTACTGGAAGCCAAAACACGGCTGGTAACCGTTTCATTGGCATGCCAACCCACTTTTCGGCTGCTTGCCTCGTTCTCCCATCCCTGTCCCAACGTCCCTCTCCAGCCGGCCAGCTCGCTTAAACAGCTACCAGCATTTGTTCGCATCTATCACGCAGTGATGGCCCGAGTCCAGACCCAAGCTGGCAGGATCAGCATCGTCCTATTCAGCGACACACAACCTACTTGTCATCCTTTTGGGAACCAGTGACTCAGACGTAACTTTATTGCAGCCTGGCAGCTGGTGGGACCGGCGAGACGCACAAAGAGAATAATGCCGGCGTGCACGGCGCCGCGGAGCGTGGCACAGAAAGCCTGGATGCAGACTTCATTCAAGCCCTGGCATAATTAAAACAGCATTACCATTCCTGGTGGCAGATTTTCACCTTCTGTAAACCCAGACTTTTGTGAGTGCTTTGTTTTACCAGTTTGCTACATCTGGAAGTCAATGGATTATGAAACAGAAGAGCAAGTTCTCTTCCTTTCTTTTCTGCTACTGCTACCAGCAGGAGCACCGCAGCCTACCTCTGGGGCTGTGCATATGGTGGAGGCTTGGCTGGAGCCTTGCCAGCCACCACGGAGACAGCAAATTGAAGTGGGTGTTTGCTGTTCTGCAGGGCTCCAGACGGGATTTTCTTTCAGATGCTACATCTGAAGGGGGAAAGTGAGGGGAATCTTATATTTACTACAGGCAATCTTTCCCTCTCCGTTCGTGGTTTTGGAGCAGAGCTCGGCAGCCCTGCGGGCTCCCTGTGTTGCCATATTTTCTCCTCCTCGCCCACCGATCCTGCTGATACAGCCAGTTTTGCAGGCATGGTTTTGTAGACCCAAGGAACTCATCTGGATGAATGAAGGAGAAAAAAGAATTTAATTCCCTCTAAGCAGAAAGCAATTGCAGCTCGTGATGCAGTTTGCCCCCACGCAGCTGTGTTTTGTTTAGGGTACCTACACCTTCCTGAAGAACTACCCTCATTTATGCAGTGCAGCATCTACTAACGCCCTACAGCAAACATGTCCTCCTAGTTGCTTTGCATAGGCTCTAGCTAGAAATCCAGTTCCTCTGTATCTTTTCCATGACCAAAGACCTAGCCCATACCAAACCACAATATTTACGTTTCCCCCTAAATCCAGATTTTAGCCCTGTCTCAGAACTGAAGATACAAACAGAAGAGTGTAAGGGAAGAGGAAACATTCTCAGGGCAGCTGCAGGCAAAAAAACTAAACACATCTCCCCCCTTTTCCCTTCCCAGGATGCAAGACGTTGCTGTTACTCCATCCCCAGACCTATTTACATGAGCGTACAGCCAACGCACGCCTGCTCCACCTGAGGCAATGCCTGCTCCTAGTCCAGGCAACTCCGGCAGCTGATCCCCGCTCCTCGCATCCCCGCTCACTGTCCTAACCCATCCCCCAGCTTCCACTTCTCTGCGCTCTCCGAGAGGGAATAGCTCCCGTGGTTGTCTCAGCAGCTGCTCTTCGCTTTCCCAAGCAGCAGCGGAGCTAAATTGACCTAATTCCTGCTTGTTTCCCCGCCACCCACGGAATTAGAAATAGCAGCAGCAAAAGCTGCCAACGCTCTCATCAGCATTGGCTCTACAGTCGCGCAGGATCGGCTCACGGTCGCTCAAATTCCTTCAGGCCCCACAAGGGTTGGAAACTTTTGAAACCTGCAAAAATGATGGACAGTTATTCCAGAAAATTCCATAGGTGGCCTCAAGGACAAGTGGATTCTTGTATGGCACAGCATCAGTGGTGTTCTTTAGACTGCAAACATCAGACATACGTATCTGTAAGAATGCACAAATAAGTCTCCCATTTGATATCTCAACCCTTTGTCAGATGTAGTTTGGGGCTGCAGTCAGGTTTGGGCTATCAGGCTGATTGTTTTTTCAGTAATGAAAACTCAATCAGTCTTAATCACAACTTCAGCAAGATGAGACTTACACTTGCATACATATTCTGTAGAGAAATTAGCCATCCCCTGCCAGGCAATATGAGGGACCAGTTACTGCTTCATGAGGAGCAGCCTCCCTTTGCTCAAGGCCACAGTCTCAGATATAAAAAAATCACATAAAAAACATTCCTTCCTTGCCATGCCACAGCCCAAGCTGCACAACTGCCCCCAAAACTTACCAGGCTACCAAAAGAGCAGGATTGGGAACATTTATGTTAATTAGTGAGTGTATGGAGAGGGAGCCAAAGATATGTTAAGATCTGATATGGCATATGGGATCCGATAGCATGTTATTAGAGGTAGAAAGCAACCCTACTCCGTGTAGCTTTTCAGTTGCTTATTAAGGCTTTCCGTTCAAACTTCGAAGTGCTTGGGCTGAAATTTTCCATGCCATAATTACTACTATTCTGGTAATTAAAGCTTGCTATAGTGAAGAGACACAAGGGCATTTCCTAACTTTTGAGAATGTGCTTCTGCAACCTTACTCAATTTTTTTTTTTTTCTAGCAGGAGATGATGAGGAAGGAAGGCTTAACCCTAACCAAACAAGAGTGAGGCTGGGATTCGTGTTCTCCCAAACTAGACAGGCACCAACCTTCACCAGACAGGGTTGCAAACTTTGCAAAAATTTATTCTCTGTCCTTGCATCTGCACTGGGTTTTTACTGCTCTTGAGATTCAAGGTATATCTCCTATGTCAGTCAGACAAGAGACATCATAAAAAATAATGGTGGCCAGTCACTCTCCAATTAATCCTCCTTCCTGTACCTTTGGCAAGGGGAATTGTTATGAGTGGACAAAGGCTTATAACATATCATAACTTGAAGCATCTTTTTGGATTCAAAGTGAATGAAATGACATGCTGTACACCATTAACTTGGCCTGCAAATATTTTGCAAGGTAGTTAGAGGGCTCCATTCTAACCAAACCCTGAGCTGTTCAGATTTTAATATTTAATTGAAGCTCCAGCTCTTCTGTAGCTATTGTGGTGATTTTACCCTGCTGGGCAGCCAAACTCTACCACAGCCACTCTCGCACTCACACTCTTCAAATGGAAAGGGGGAGAAAATATGATGAAAATTTTTAAAAAGGGCTCAAAGGTTCTCTATCCCTCATCACCACTGTGGCCAACAAATTTTGTTCATTTAAAGTTTGCTGTAGCTTCAAGTAAGAAGCTCTGGCACCACTTAGACTCTGAGGAAACCTCGGAGCCAAACAGCCTCTGTAATGACTATGAAAATTGTATTATTAGCTTCTAAACAGAAGCAGCATGACACTCTGCAAAGGAAATACACAGGCTGTCAGAAGCACTGAGAGAAGGTGTCAGCTACAAATTAATGGCTATTTAAACATATTATTTGTTCCAAAGTGTTAAAAATGAGCTTTTTAGCTCTGACGGCAGAAAAGGTGGTGGTATGTCAAGTCCCACATTGGCACGCCATCTCTCCCAGCTGCTGCTGCCAGCAGTTCAAAGCTGTTGATTGGTATAACTTCAAGACTCCCATGGGGAAAGGAAGTCTCTGGAGAAACAAAAAGAGGTTTTATTCCTTCCCTTGGTTTAGCTGAAGCAGAGACATTCTGCTTTTGGTTCTGCCGACAAACACACGATTAAACAAAAGTAGAGGAACAGAGATTGACTTAAGTTAACACAGATGGACAGCTTGGATGCTAAGCCTAGCTGATGGACTCCTACTCACCTGAGAAACTGAATTTACAACTAGTTAAACATGCGTTGGCTCAACTAAGCAGTGCAATGTGGCTTCCACATCCTAATCTCAGGGTATCTGAGATTTCTAAAGAGCACTGTGAAAGCCAAAAGGCTCTCAGAATCTGAAATTTTTACTGCTCTCCCCATTTTGCCTGTTTAAAATTTACTGCCTCAGAGAAGCAGAGCCTCTGATATGAAACAGCCTAGGAAAATGAACTGGTAAAGCTAAAAGCTAACTCAGTGGAAGGCAGAAACATCTACATTATCTGTAAGAGGCACTGTCTTAGCTACGTCTGCCAGCTCTTTTTTTGTGGGGGTGGGTATATGGGGGGGGGGGGGAATGTAATGTTAACCATTGCTATCTTAGATTAAATTAATCCCACACGTTCTGCCACTGAAGATATTTGGGAGCTACAGGCTGGTACTACTAAGCGGAAATACTACTGAAATTATTTCACAGCACTTGCAAAGAAAGACATCGAGCATGGCATACACTGGTACCTCACTGCCCACAGGTGATAAGGGACCATTGATTTTAATCAATATGAAAAGTTATCTGTTCAATCTACTGCAAACCTGTTGATATAGACTTGTAGGTCCAAGGTAAACAATTTGCCACTCCTACCTACAAGAATGTGTCTACAAAGTCTGTGCTTGGCGTAGGCATGAAGTACCCCTATTTCACTTTGGCATTTCTTGAAAGTCTTCCTGCAGGTCCCTGGAGCCCTGGCAGATGGGAGCAGGAGAACACACAGCGCTCAAGGAGGTGGGAGCTGCAAAGTTTCAGAGGAGTTAGGCTGGCTTCAGGCTTGAGAGCATCTTGCCACTTGGGT